GTGAATAATGGATGAATGTTGTGTTATAGTGTATAATGGTGAATAATGGATAGTGTTGTGTTATAGTGTATAATGTAGTGAATAATGGATGAATGTTGTGTTATAGTGTATAATGTAGTGAATAATGGATGAATGTTGTGTTATAGTGTATAATGTAGTGAATAATGGATGAATGTTGTGTTATAGTGTATAATGTAGTGAATAATGAATGAATGTTGTGTTATAGTGTATAATGTAGTGAATAATGAATGAATGTTGTGTTATAGTGTATAATGTAGTGAATAATGAATGAATGATGTTATAGTGTATAATGTAGTGAATAATGGATGAATGTTGTGTTTGTAGTGTATAATGTAGTGAATATGGATGATGTATGTGTTATAGTGTATAATGTAGTGAATAATGAATGTGTTTATTATAATGTTAGTGAATAATGAATGAATGATGTGTTATAGTGTATAATGTAGATAATGAATGAATGTTGTGTTATAGTGTATAATGTAGTGAATAATGAATGAATGTTGTGTTATAGTGTATAATGTAGTGAATAATGAATGAATGTTGTGTTATAGTGTATAATGTAGTGAATAATGAATGAATGATGTGTTATAGTGTATAATGTAATGAATAATGAATGATGTTGTGTTATAGTGTATAATGTAGTGAATAATGGATGAATGTTGTGTTATAGTGTATAATGTAGTGAATAATGAATGAATGATGTGTTATAGTGTATAATGTAATGAATAATGAATGAATGTTGTGTTATAGTGTATAATGGTGAATAATGAATGAATGTTGTGTATAGTGTATAATGTAGTGAATAATGAATGAATGTTGTGTTATAGTGTATAATAGTGAATAATGAATGAATGATGTGTTATAGTGTATAATGTAGTGAATAATGAATGAATGTTGTGTTGTAGTGTATAATGTAGTGAATAATGAATGAATGTTGTGTTATAGTGTATAATGTAGTGAATAATGAATGAATGTTGTGTTATAGTGTATAATGTAGTGAATAATGAATGAATGTTGTGTTGTAGTGTATAATGTAGTGAATAATGAATGAATGTTGTGTTATAGTGTATAATGTAGTGAATAATGGATGAATGTTGTGTTGTAGTGTATAATGAGACTAAAGCCTTGATTCAACAGAGGCAGTGTTGTAAATTATATTAGTAACACAACTAAGAATGGGATCACCTGCTGATTAAACACCCAGCATACCTCACCTGATGAATGAACACCCTTACGGTACCTGGGTTAGGTTAGGTTAGGTTAGGTTAGGTTAGGTTAGGTTAGGTTAGGTTAGGTTAGGTTAGGTTAGGTTAGGTTAGGTTAGGTTAGGTTAGGTTAGGTTAGGTTAGGTTAGGTTAGGTTAGGGGTTAGGTTGGGTTGGGTTGCTGGTTGCTGGTTAAGTCTGGTTAGGTTAGGTTAGGTTGGAGGTTGGGTTAGGTTAGGAGTAGGAGGTTGGGTAGGGAGGTAGATGAGTAGGAAAGTAGGCTAGTTAGGTTAGGTTAGGTCTGTTTAGGTTAGTCTGGTCTCTGGTCAGGTCTGGTCTGGTTAGGTTAGGTCAGGTTCAGGGGTTAGGTTTGGTGGTTAGGTTAGGTTAGGTTAGGCAGGTTAGGTTAGGTTAGGGTTAGTTAGGTTAGGCTAGGGGTTAGGTTAGGTTAGGTTAGGCTAGCTAGGTTAGCTAGGTTAGGTTAGGTTAGGTTAGTTAGGTTAGGTTAGGTTAGGTTAGGTTAGGTTAGGGTTAGGTTAGGTTAGGTTAGGTTAGGTTAGGGCCAGGGGTTGTGGGTTAGGTTAGGTCTGGCTCGGTTCGGTTCGGTTCGGTCCGGTCGGTCCGGTCTGGTCTGGTTCGGTTCGGTCTGGTCTGGTCTGGGTTCGGTTCGGTTCGGTTCGTTTGGTTCGTTCGGTTCGGTTCGGTTCGGTTCGGCTCCTCGGTCTGGTTCGGTTCGGTTCGGTTCGGTTCGGTTCGTTCGGTTCGGTTAGGTTCGGTTAGGTTAGGTAGGTTAGGTTGTTAGTTAGGTTAGGTTAGGGGTTGTAGGTTAGGTTAGGTTAGGGTTAGGTTGGGTTAGGGTTAGTTAGGTTAGGAAAGCAGTATAAGTTTAGAGGCAACAACATAATACAGTAAAATAAAAAAGAAGAAATTAACTCAATACTGTAATAGACTACAATATATCTGATGGTGTGTCTCTATAACAATTATTTCACCTTTCCATCTGTGTCTGTGATTATCTGTCATCTCTCTGTGTTTCTCTCCTCCACACATACAAATAAAAACTGACCTTCGTAAGACACAATAAGCATCCTCTCTCACCAACTCCCTCCTCCTCTCCTCACCAACTCCCTCCTCCTCTCTCTCCTCACCCCCACAGCCGTCACCAGAGTCGACATCATTATTTGTCTGGTAATCCTGAGGTCTCTGTTCAACAGGTCCTCAGAGGTCCCCGTTGTCTGACCTGACCTTAGTTCTGGTTCCGTGTATTAGCCAATCCCGAGGTATTCCTATCCTCGTCCTCGGCCCATCCTTCACCTATCCTACCGTCCTGTGGCCTCATAAGTCGCCTCGACCAACCATCCTCATCTTTGGACTCGACTTTTATTAATTGGCTATAAATTGCCGCCAATATCTCACAGCTGCACTGGTGGGAAATATTTTGGGACAGTTTTTGGTATCAACAGTATTTTCAGACCGGCGTTTTACGAATAATCACGACACATATTATATATTTATCTCATCAATAACTACATTTTCACCGTAATTATTATACCAAAGCTCAATTTTTTCCTCGTGATGTGCTTCCCAATCTCCTACCTGGCTGTGTCGTTCTAGCCAATCACGCCACACCCCACTAACTCCCCCCTCCCCTCCTTACCAGCCACGCATCTAAGTTGTGAGAATCCAGCCTTAAGGTAAGTTTAGTCTTCTTAATTATTCCTCTATGTTACGTGTAATTTCATTCTCTCCGCAAGTAAATACCCCATGACGTCATCACCACCCGCAGGTAAAACCCCATGACGTCATCACCCACCCGTTCGTCATCACCCACCCGCAGGTAAATACCCCATGACGTCATCACCCACCCGCAGGTAAACGCCCCATGACGTCATCACCCACCCGCAGGTAAATACCCCATGACGTCATCACCCACCCGCAGGTAAATACCCCATGACGTCATCACCCACCCACAGGTAAATACCCCATGACGTCATCACCCACCCTCAGGTAAATACCCCATGACGTCATCAGCGACACATCAATAAAACCGATTTACAGTAACTACAGAGAGAGAGAGAGAGAGAGAGAGAGAGAGAGAGAGAGAGAGAGAGAGAGAGAGAGAGAACATTGAAACATCGGTTACCTTCATTTACACCAAATCCCCAATCCCTTCCTGTTGTTACTACGAAAACCACCACCACCACCACCAACCATTCATTACCACTACCCCCACTAATACTTCCACCATTGCCACCACTAATAGCCGCAAGAACAGCCGCAGCACCGCAGGCAATAACAGCAATAGTCACAGCAGCAACGTTAACAAGGCGAACGACGACCACAACCAATTACTGTGAGAAAAAGCTCAATGCTGGCAAAGTTTGATCTCCCTCCCTCCCTCCCCCTACCCACCTCCCACTCCCTCCTACCTCCCTCCCTCACCCTCCTGCACTCCTCCCCACCTTCCTCCCTCACCCTCCCACCTCCTCCTCACTCCCTCCTACCTCCCTCACTCCTCCTACCTCCCTCCCCCACCCCTCCCTCCCCCTCCCTCACCCCCCTCCCCCTCCCTCACTCCCCCTCCTACCTCCTCCCTCACCCCCCTCCCTACCTCCCCCACCCTTCCCTCCCCTCACCCCTCCCACCTCCCTCCCTCCACCTCCCTCCCCCCGCCCCTCCCTACCCTCCCCTCACTCCCTCCTACCTCCCTTCCCCTCTCTCTCGTACCTCCCTCTCTTTCTCCTTCCGTCCCTTTCTCTCCTTCCCTACCTCCTCTCTCTCTCTCCTTCCCTCTTGTTTGCCTCCCACCTCACGTCCCTCTTACCTTCCTCGTCCCTCTCCTATCCCTCCCTCTCTTCCCTCTCATCCCTCTCTCTTCCCTCCCTCCATCATCGATGCTAATTGGCCTGGCTGACCTGTCGGGGTCTCTTCTGTCGGGGATTCCTACCTGTCGGGGCTCTATCTATCTGGGCTACTACTTGTTGGGGCTTTATCTATCGGGGTTCCTACCTGTCGGGGCTCTATCTATCTGGGCTCCTAATTGTCAGGGCTATATCTATCGGGGTTCCTACCTGTCAGGGCTCTATCTATCGGGGCTCTTACCTGTCGATACTCTATCTATCGGGGTTCCTATCTGCCGGGGCTTTATTTGTCGGGGTTTCTACAGTATGTCGGGTATGTTTCTGTGGTTCTCTGTGTTGCTGTGTTGCTGTGTTGCTGTGTTGCTGTGTTTTGTGTTGCTGTGTTGCTGTGTTTCTCTGTGTTTCTCTGTGTTTCTCTGTGTTTCTCTGTGTTGATGTGTTTCTGTGTTTCCCTCTGTTTCTGTGTTTCTCTGTGTTGATGTGTTTCTCTGTGTTTCTCTGTGTTTCTCTGTGTTGATGTGTTTCTGTGTTGCTGTGTTTTTCTCTGTGTTTCTCTGTGTTTCTCTGTGTTGATGTGTTTCTCTGTGTTTCTCTGTGTTTCTCTGTGTTGATGTGTGTTTCTCTGTGTTGCTGTGTTGCTGTGTTTCTCTGTGTTTCTGTGTTTCTCTGTGTTTCTGTGTTGCTGTGTTTCTCTGTGTTTCTGTGTTTCTCTGTGTTGCTGTGTTGCTGTGTTTCTCTGTGTTTCTGTGTTTCTCTGTGTTTCTGTGTTGCTGTGTTTCTCTGTGTTTCTCTGTGTTTCTGTTCGTTGTTCTTATTTACGTCGTTTCGTTACAAAGTTGTATGGTAGGGGAAGTACTGGTGGTAGGACACACACACACACACACACACACACACACACACACACAGGTACTTACCCATCAGGGGGGTTCAGGGGGTAGCGGATGAGGTGACCCTTAGGGCTGGGCTGACTTCCGTTACCAATCCAGAAGAACGCATCTGTGGGAACGACAGACAGGAACGGTCAGAACACATTCTACTGTCTAGAATCTAGATGGATGAACGGACAAGACAAACACTCTAAATTATCGTCTGGACAAAACAAACTTTCTAAATAAACGTGTGAACAAAACAAATTCTTTAAATGAACGTCTCAACAAAACAAACGCTGTAAATGAACACCTGGACAAAACAAGCTGTATAACTGAACGTCTAAACAAAAAACTCTCTAAATTCCATCAACTCTCACCGTGAACCAACACCAGCCTGGAGTGTGCCGGGATTTTGTTTCCAACTCTCGGTTACTAATGAGATTTTGTTTGTGTACTAAAATAAATGTAACTGAGTAAAGACCGTAAGGGGACAATAATAATAATAATAATAATAATAATAATAATAATAATAATAATAATAATAATAATAATAATAATAATAATAATAATAATAATAATAATAATAATAATAATAATAATAATAATAATAATAATAATAATAATAATCATAATAATAATCATAATAAAATTAATACTTTCTTTTGCACTCAAACAAATGTCTCTCTCTCTCTCTCTCTCTCTCTCTCTCTCTCTCTCTCTCTCTCTCCCTTGTAATTATATTACGCTCCCACTTTGTCCCTCGATCAAATTTCTCTCAATCTTTTTGTCTCTTTCTCTCTCTTCTTCTCTCTAAATTTCTCTCTGTTTTTCTCTCTCTCACTCACTCTTTCTCTCTAACTCTTTGTTTCTCTATCTCACACGCTCTTTCTCTCTCGTTAACTCTCTCTAACTTTCACTCTTTTTCTCTCTAACTCTATCTCACAATTAAATCACTCTGTCTCTCTTTCTCTCTCTCCTTTTTTGGTCTGTATGTCTGTCCGTCTGTCTCTCTCTTTCTCTCCGTCTGTCTCTCTGTCTCTGTCTCTCTCCCCTCAATCTCATTACACAATCAATTTCCCTCATCTCCTCCACCTGCTGTCCTTATCAACCTCCGTTCTCACGTATTTATCTCTTTACATTAATTCTCTTTTCGCTTCATTTGTTCTCCTTCAGTTTATTATCTCTTGTTCCTCTACGTCTTTTTATTCAATTATCTGTTTATTTCACCTCTTACCTTTCACTATCGTTCTTCCAAGTTTTATATGTCAAGTAATAATTTGGGACAGTTACTTTATGTTAAGATATTCTCTGTGTTTTGTGGTGGTTATGTCTACGGTTTAATAAAGTTAAAAATTACAATTGAATAAAATTTAGGATTTATTTGGTTTTATTAAATGACTGGTAGATTATTTTTGGTGGGATTTTGTGGTGATATAATTTTAATGGATTTTTTTTTACGTGAATTAAATAACAAAATTCATGGTTCCTTTGCGATATATTGTAATAAATGAAAATATATTTGACAAATTTTAATGATTTATTCTAGTAAATCAGTATAAGTAAATTACCAATAATACTCATATTTTTATTGTAATACTTCACTAAACATTACTTATATTTCTCCTTTATCGACCGTTTGCCTTCTATACTCTTTTATTCATTACGTTATATTTCCTAATTTTTATTCTTCAATGTCCTTATTCATTCTTCCTCTTCTTTATTTACAATCTTTTATCCGTTCTTTATCTCTCTTGTTATCTGTGTTTCTCTTCTCAGTTGTCTCTTTATCTTTTTTTTATTTACCTACGTTTTATTTTTTCACCTATTCTCTCTCTCTCTCTCTCTCTCTCTCTCTCTGATCTTCTACACTTGTCAACTTTTCAACTTTCTTCCACTTGTCGCTTACTCAAAAACTTTCTCTCTTAACCTGATCAAACTCTCCCTCACTTTCACTTCACTTCCCCCCTCACTTTCTCACAATTTGGCCTTTTCTTCACCTCTCTCTCACTTTCTCTCTCTCTCTCTCTCTCTCTCCCCATCTAACTTTCACATCCCTTTCAACCAAGCAGCTATTTGTATCTCCTTACCTACTCCCTACCCCTTTCCCAGCACCTCCTCCTGTCCCAGCACCCACCTCCTGTCCCAGCACCCACCCCTCTCCCAGCACCTACCTCCTCTCCCAGCACCCACCTCCCTCCCAGCACCCACCTCCTCTCCCAGCACCTACCCCTCTCCCAGCACCCACCCCTTCCGTTGTGCCACTCTTCCCAGCACCTACCCTCTCTCCCAGCACCTACCCCCTTCCAGCACCCACCCCCTCCTTTCCCACACCTACCCTCTCTCCCAGCACCCACCCTCTGCAGCACCCACCTCTCTCCCAGCACCTCACCTCCTCTCTCCCACCTACCCTTCCCCAGCACCCCCTCTCCCAGCACCTACCCCTTTCCAGCACCTACCCCTTTCCCAGCACCTACCTTAGCACCTCTCCCAGCACCTACCCCCTTCCCCAGCACCTACCCTCCCAGCACCTACCCCTTTCCCAGCACCTACCCCCTCTCCCAGCACCCACCCCTTCTAGCACCTACCCTTTCCCAGCACCACCTTTCCCCTGCACTCACCCCTTTCCCAGCACCCACCCCTTTCCCCAGCACCTACTCCTTCCAGCACCTACCTTCCCAGCACCTACCCCTTTCTCCACCCTTCCCAGCACCTCCCTTTCCCCAGCACTCCCCCTTCCCAGCACCACCCCCTCCAGCACCCACCCCTTCCCCACCTACCCCTTTCCCAGCACCTACCCCTTTCCCAGCACCTACCCCTTCCCCCAGCACCCTACCCTTTTCCCCTGCACCTACCCCCCTTCCCAGCACCCACCCCTTCCAGCACCTACCCTCTCCCCAGCACCTACCTTCCCAGCACCACCCCTTCCCCAGCACCTACCCTCTCTCCCAGCACCCACCCCTTCCCAGCACCTACCCTCTCTCCAGCACTCCCCACCCCCAGCACCTACCCTCCAGCACCTCCCTCTCCAGCACCTACCCCTTTCCCAGCACCTACCCTCTCTCCCAGCACCTACCCCTTTCCTCAGCACCTACCCTCTCTCTCCCAGCACCACCCCTTTTCACATACCTCTCTCCAGCACCTACCCCTTTCCCAGCACCTACTCCTCTCTCTCCAGCACCTACCCTCTCTCCCAGCACCTACCCTCCTCTCCCAGCACTCCACCCCCCCTCCCCAGCACCTACCCTCTCTCCCCAGCACCCACCCCTCTCCCAGCACCCACCTCTCTCCCAGCACCTACCCCTTTCCCAGCACTCACCCCTTTCCAGCACCTACCCCTTTCCAGCACCTACCCCTTCCCAGCACCCACCCCCTTTCCCTAGCACCTACCTCTTCCAGCCCTACCCCTTTCCCCACCTCCACACTTCCCTGATCCCCTTCCCAACCTCCCCTTCCCAGCACCTACCCTCCTCTCTCCCCACACCACCCTTCCGCACTACCCCGCACCTACTCCTCCCGCACCTACCCCTTCCCAGCACCTACCCTCTCTCCCAGCACCCACCCCCCCCAGCACCCACCTCCCAGACCACTCTCCCAGCACCTACCCCTTCCCCAGCACCTACTTCTCCCCAGCACCTACCCCCCTTCCCTGCACCTACCTCTCCTCTCCCAGCACCTACTCCCCATTTCCCAGCACCTACCTCTCTCCCAGCACCTACCTCTTCCCCAGCACTCTACCCTCTCTCCCCAGCACCTACCCTCTCCCAGCACCTACCCCTCCCAGCACCTACCTCTCCCAGCACCTACCCCTTCTCTCCCAGCACCTACCCTCTCTCCCAGCACCTACCTCCTCCCAGCACCCCACCCCCTTCCCAGCCCCATCCCCTTTCCCACACCCCTACTCCCCTTTTGCACCTACCTTTTCTAGCCCTACCCCCTTTCCCAGCACTTACCCTTTCCAGCACCTCCCTTTGCACACTCTTCTGCACCTACCCCTCACACCCCCCCTTCCCCAGCCCTACCCTCTCTCCCAGCACCCACCCCTTCCCAGCACCTACCCTCTCTCCCAGCACCTACCCTCTCCCAGCACCTACCCCTTTCCCAGCACCTACCCTCTCTCCCAGCACCCCCCTCCCCAGCACCCACCCTCCTCCTCCCAGCACCCACCCATTTCCCAGCACCCACCCCCTCCCCAGCACCCACCCCTCCCAGCACCTACCCTCTCTCCCAGCACCTACCCTCTCCCCAGCACCACCCCTCCCCAGCACCTACCCCCTCCCAGCACCTACCCCCTCTCCCAGCACCTACCCTCCCAGCACCTACCCTCTCTCCCAGCACCTACCCCTTTCCCAGCACCTACCCTCTCCCAGCACTCTACCCTCTCCCAGCACCTACCCCCTTCCCAGCACCTACCCCTTCCCAGCTCCACCCCCTTTCCCAGCACCTACCCTCTCTCTCCCAGCACCTACCCCTCTTCCCCAGCACCTACCCTCTCCCAGCACCTACCCCCTTCCCCAGCACCTACCTCCTCTCCCAGCACCTACACCCTCTCTCCCAGCACCCACCCCTTTCCCAGCACCACCTCTCCCCAGCACCCACTCCCCTTTCCCAGCACCCACTCTCTCCCAGCACCCACTCCTTCCCAGCACCTACCCTCTCCCCAGCACCCACCCCTCTCTCTCCCAGCACCTACCCTCTCCCAGCACCCACCCCTCTCCCAGCACCTACCCTTCCCAGCACCACCCTCTCCCAGCACCTACCCTCCCAGCACCTACCCCCTCCCCAGCACCTACCCCCCTCTCCCCAGCACCTCTCCCTCCCCAGCACCCACCCTCTCTCCCAGCACCCACCCTCTCTCCCCAGCACCTACCCCCCAGCACCCACCCCCTCTCTCCCAGCACCTACCCTCTCCCCAGCACCTACCCCTCTCCCAGCGCCTACCCCCTCTCCCAGCACCTACCTCCTCTCCCAGCACCCACCCTCTCTCTCTCCCAGCACCTACCCCCCTTTCCCAGCACCAACCCCTCTCTCCCCAGCACCTACCCCTTCGCAGCACCCACCTCTCCCAGCATCTGATTCTCTCCAGCTTTCATCCCACCTCTCCCCAGCTCTCACCCCACCTCTCCAGCT